TATTTTTTATTTTTTATTTTTTACGGTTACGAGTGTTCAGCTGCTCCAGGGCGTCTCTGTGGCGCAGGTGGCGTTTATGTGCAGGAAGCGTGACCATATAAGGCTCGGTCAGGACGAGATTCCCTCCTGTTAGATCACCGCTCTGCGTCCACTCACAGACGCCCATCCTGCATCGCCCACGCTCATTGTCGGACACGGGAAAGCCACGTGTTCCCTGCAGGGATGGATTTTCTCTGCTACCTGTCGAGAAAATGCATCAGAAAGCAGCAAATGTGCTCAAATGTCCTTAGTTCACAGGAAACGTGATCGTTCTCGCAACATAATAAATGCTCGGAATATAGATAAAGGGAACGCTCTCCCTTTTTCACTCTCATTTGATAATAATAATGATAATAATAATATTAATAATAAAAACTGAAGAACAGAAAACAATCTGATCGTTGCTTCCTGGTGGTTTAACTTCACATTTTATGCGACCGGATCAAACCAATAATAAAGGCGACGCAGATCATTTTAAAAGTGCCTGTTTTCCAGTATTTCGTTATGCAACCTTATGTTTCTGTGATTTCTCGGGATGTGGGAATAAACTATCCAGTCCAACTTTTTCCCTCGCATATTTTGTAACATTGTCTCATAAAGTAAAGTTCTTAAAAGAGGATGGGGGCTCTGGGAGCAGGGGGGCATAGCTAATGTCCCTGAATCATATTCAGTTCCTTATGTTGATATCTCATTTAAAAACTATAATTAAGACAAAAAAAAAAAACTCCCCTCCTGCATATGAAAATGACTCTCTTCTGTTTATAACATAACTACAAGAGAAGCCGATAGTGATGGTTGTAGCAGCCTGATAGATCAAAAGGGGGGGAGAAAAAAAAGATATATAGAGCAAATCTTCAAAATCCAAGATCGATAACTGACGCGTATAATCAATTACTCGAACGTGCGGCTTTTAACGCTCACGGTTCTTTATCTGTTGATGTAACTGGATTTGGTTTTGTTTTGTTTTTTTCATGTTCAGCCCCCACGTCTCCCCGTGAGTCATCCCGCTGCGTTTCAGCACCACGGACAGCTCCGGAGCCAAAACCCCCTCCCACCTCCCAGACAGCCGGCGAGTTTTATTGCCCGAAACAAAGCAAAGCTCATCCTCTCTGGGTCGCATTGATGGCATTGATGAATGTCTGTGATGGAGTAAAGAGAGAGAGAGAGACAGAGAGAGAGGGGGCCTATTGATAGTCATCATTTACCATAAATGAGACCTACATGGAGCCGCAGTGGGAGGGGCGACAGGGATGCCGCATTTTTCTGAATGAAATTACTCCACGTACACCGCCCACCCCCCCTACCCTTCCTCCTCCGCGTCCTCCTTCATGTTTCTCGCCGCATAACCAAAATGCGTGCCTGTGATTGGCCGAGAACTCCCAGTCACTGACGTCAGCCGAGCTCTCTTGTGGACGAGTCCCGCGGAAAAGCATCCATTCTGCCCACCGTAAGCGCACCGGAGAGACTGAAGAAGAGCGACAAAAACCAGAGGGGGAGGGATGCGAGCCCAGCTGAGACACGGACAGACAGACACGCAGACAGAGAGGCTCCGGGACTGAAGTTTTTCTGAAGCCCGCGCAGCATCACCTCGTCTCCATCCATTTTTTTGTTTGTTTTTTTTTTTTTTTTGCTCCTGGATCTGATCAGAAAGGAGCACGGATTGCATCCAGCCACTGCGAGCCGCTTGTCTAAAAAAAAAAAAAAAAAAAGGCTTCAGGGGTGCATCGATTTTCATGCTGTTTTGGATGCACTCTTTTATATACTTATTTTTGTGTGTGCGTGAATGTGGTGCAGTGGAGCTGCAAAGCACGACTGTTACACAACAAGGTTCTCCGCACAAGGAGGTGAGAAACACCTCCTCCTCGCTCTGGCATCGGAGAGCAGGGAGGATGAAAGACCGAAGCAGAAAGCGAGAAGGTCTGAAAAATAAAGTAGCAGGAGCTCACGTTGGTATGACTGGTGTCTTCTTGGAAGAAAAACGTGGACTGCGAAGTTGTCGAATCGTGCCAATCCCGGATTTACAGTGACGCGGTTTTCTTGTTGTGTGCATTAATTTTTCATTTGATGCATTGAGAAGGCCTGTCGACCTTTCAAGTCCTCGATGAGATGCTGATAGGATGCTGATAGGAAGATTCACAAAATCTTATCCGGATCAGCAGAAATGAACTGACATGTCATGCACTTCAGAATGTTTTATTAGGATTATAGATAGTAGACCGACACAAAGTATCACATATATTTATGAAGTAGAATGAAAATGGACACATGCTGTTTTGGTTTTTCTTCTCTTTTTTTTTTTTTTTTTTTTGGAAGGAGTTGAATGAGGGTGAGAGAGTACAAAAAACATGGCGTCAATTTCTCTAATACCTCACGATTTGCAGATAAACATATTTGCTGGAAGTCCTTTGGGGGTAAAATCAGATCAGGTAGAGATTAGCTGCATGTGAACACCAACTTTAAACTTTTGGCACAGATTGCCAGCTTGAGGTCCAGACTTTGACTGAGCTCCTTCAAAACTAAACTGTTTTGATCTGAGCACATTTAAGAACATTCTTCTGGCAGAAGATGAACCCTCTGCCCAAGTGGTTGGACTTTTAAAACCCCTGTCAGGTTTTAGACAGGAATGGCCTTCGCCTTATTTTTGTGTGTGCGTGAATGTGGTGCATTCACGCACACGCTACTCCGAGACGCTCAGAGTAGCGTCTCGGTTCCTGCTGGGGGGGGGAGAACCATTCGTACAACATGACTGTTTTCTTTCTTTCCAGATGACATTGTGTTGGTCTGTAACATAGTTTTACAATGAAACTCTTTGACAAAATGTGGCAAAATGTGAAGATCCAGGGGCGTGAATGTCAGGCGGTGTAGAATACATAAACAATGGCCTCTAGAAATCAATTTACCTAAGATGAGCAGTTTCTAGATGTATTGTTTTGGAGGATACATTTCACAACAAACGTGATTTTCTATTCTACTCAGAATTATGATTTCTGCAGAGAATAAATGAGTGTAACTGCTGGGTTTTTTCAATAATTACATTAAGTCTACACTTTTCAACCATCTACCCAAGAGGCTCAAAACTGCACAACGTTCCCTGGAAATGGCAGCTTAATGGTCACAGAGGAAGGCAATGATGAATCATTAAAGGAAATCTAATTTTCTCCTGTCTTTCTTTCTTTCCTTCTCATTTAGGTTTTACTGGTGCTCCTGTTGAACCAGCCATGATCCTCAACGCCTCAGAGCTGCCCTGGGATGAGTCCTCGGGTCTGGAACCTTTCTTCCCGCTGGACCAACAGGAAAGCTCCTCTCAACCCGAGCTCCCACCCCTCACCATCTGGGGCGTGGCCCTCTGCATTTCAGGGACTCTCATTGCCACTGAGAATGCCATCGTGGTGACCACCATCTTGGCCACCCCCTCTCTCCGCGCCCCTGTCTTCCTGCTGCTGGCCAGCCTCGGCCTGGCGGACCTCCTGGCAGGCGTGGCCCTCATTCTGCACTTCCTCTTCCGGTTCTGCGTGGAGCCCAGTGATTGGTCTGACCTGCTGACCTCGGGCCTGCTGGTGACCTCCCTGACCGCCTCCCTTTGCAGCCTCATGGGCGTCGCCTTGGACAGATACCTGTCGCTGAGCCACGCCCTCACCTACGGCTCAGGCCAGTCGCGGCGCAGGGCCGCCACCCTTCTTCTGCTGGTCTGGTTGGGCGCTTGTGTCATTGGCGCAGGACCTGCCATGGGATGGCACTGCCTTGAGGAGGCAAACTCCTGTTCTGTAGCACGACCTCTGACCCGCACCTATCTATCCCTGCTGTGTGGCGGCTTCCTAATGGTTGTGGTTGTAACGCTGCAGCTGTACGCCGGGATCTGCCGCGTTGCAAGGCGGCACGCCCACGCCATTGCAACCCAGAGGCACTTCCTACCCACCAACCAGCCGTACCCAAGCAGACACAGCAGTGGGAAAGGTTTCTCTCGCCTGATCCTGGTCCTGAGTGTGTTTGTGGGCTGCTGGATGCCCTTTTCCCTCTGGGGCCTGCTCGGAGACGCGTCCAGCCCTCCCATGTACACCTACGCCACCTTGGTGCCGGCGGCCGGCAGCTCCCTGCTCAACCCCATCCTCTACAGCCTGAGAAACAAAGACATTCGGAAGGTGCTGCTCCACGCCTGCTGCCCACACAGATCCTCAAACGCCACGGGCACTCACTACCCAGTCGACGTGTGAGATCAGTCACAGCAGCGCTCAATCTATGCCAGACATATCGTCGTGTACGTGCCAAAACTCTCAGTGTCGAAAGCGTTCAGAAAGTGAAACACTTTTCCCTGCCGAGAACTGAGTAAAACACGCCTTCACGCCCAAGCAGCATTTTTTTCCAGAGCTGAAGTCCTCCAAATCAGAATGCACTGAATAGTGCTGGCCCAGCAGCCAGCTTGGGACTAAATGTACTGTCCGGTGTCTACTTTGTGCCTCAGACGACGGTAGCTGCGCTGGATCTCCAGAACTACACAATCAGAGGGACGCTACAAGTTTGGACTACATCAGTGTGAGCACTTTAAGAGGAGACGGCGTGCTGGGTTTTTAACACCTCACGGTGTGAAAACGTGTGGTCCAAAGCCCAGTTTTAATTACTTGAAACGTGTGAGAAACAAGCGGGAATATATTTTGCACATGCTGATTAAAGCACTTTGAGATGTACTGACCGTATTTTTTGTTGTTGTTGTTGTTGCACAACCTTTTGGAGATGGATGAATGTTTTATACTGATGAATAATAAATAAGTCTTTTTTTCCACTGTATGATGTCATCACTGTTCTTTTTTTTTTTTTAACTGCAGCAGGAAGCTTTTGGTGAATTTGTGTCTCTTTCTCTTGCTGGCTAACTCACTTGTGGATTAACTGATGCTCAAGCATTCTGAATAATTTGGCTGCCAATGCAATCTGCAACCTCATTACAGTCTTTCCGAATCTCATGCATCCCTTTAAAATCTACAAAGCAGCCACAGCTTGAGGGAAAAGCAATTATGCAAGAGGGTTTTCTCACTTTCCACTCGTTTTCTGATCTGTAAACACCCCCGCACATTCAGATCCAGGCGCAGTCAAAAAAATGCTGATAAAAATGCTGATAAAAAAAAAAAAAAAACACTGAGTCATGGGTAAAGCTTGTGGTTTGTTTTTAAGAGAGGGTTATCTCTTAGAAACTTCTCATAATGCACTGGATAATGATTAAAGTTTATTTTTCAAATTATATAATGTTAAAACCACAAATTTTGTTGTGTTTTACTTGACAAAACACAGTAGAACTTTATTGTGAAGTGGAAGGGAAAAGGCCACAGTTGGAATAAAACATAAAAAATCCCAGACCTAAAGTTTCACGTTAAATTTAAAGGCTTTTGAGCAGAGTATGGCTTAAACTCAAAACCTTTCTGAATTGTGGAAATAAACCCAGTTTAATTAAGCCACCTCCTCATAACTCGGGTAACTTTTAAAAAGAAAAAGCTTATTAAATTACATTTATAATTTTCTGCTTTGCAAATACTGGGGAAAGCTTTTAGTCCCTGTGCTGCAAAGGTAGACTTTGAGCTGTGCCAGCAGGACAAGACTTACTCAGGGGCGCTGAATACATATGCATAACATTGTTCAGAACTCCCAACAATCTCACAGGAATCTAAACCAGAATTTAAATTCAAGTAATATTTATTGAAGCAAATCATTTGGAACTTAAAGGAGGAAAAGCATCAATTTGGCAAGACATGTTGTGCAACTGTGCAGCAGAACCAATGTACTTTACATAAAAGGCACTTTGAATTTGATTAATCAATTAAACTTGCTATTAAATAGGCTTAAAAAAATTAAAGCACAGACACTAAACTGCCAGTAGAAAGGCACTGGATGAGGCAAACGTCTGCCTCATTTGATCACTGATTAAAGCAACAGAATTTGATTCATCCCCCCCACAAGAAAAAAACAAAGACAGTCTCAGGAAAAAAACATAATACAAATAAAATTCAATACAAATACCTTATATTTATGTGTTCAGTTTGGCAATATCTTGCAACCATTAATGGTTAGTTAATTTACCAATTATTTGTTCCACAGAAGAAAGGACTTGATACATAAAAATGGGATGGAAAATATGGCAGACGTGACTTAAAGGGGATTTAAAATTACAGCAATCATTTGAATTCATAATGGAATAGAAACACACATCTCTGGCATTAAATTACTTTAAAGCAGGGGCGTCAAACTCCAGTCCTCAAGGGCCGCTGTCCTGCAGTTTTTAGATGTGCCACAGGTACAAAAACACTGGAATGAAATGGCTTAATTACCTCCTCCTTGTTCTCCAGAGCCTTGCTTATCACCTAATTATTCTATTCAGGTGTGGTGCAGCAGAGGCACATCTAAAAGTTGCAGGACACCGGCCCTCAAGGACTGGATGTTGACACCCCTGCTTTAAAGTCAATATTTCATGTCTCTTTGGAGGACATGCAGCAACCGTGAATTGAGGATGTTTTGAGCGTTCATGCAAACCTGTTCTATTAATTTTGTCAGACAGTGAATGAAATGAGGCACAAAATTCTGACCAACGACAAAGTCAAAATCAGAAGTGATTCGTTTATGCAGATGATCAGGAGGGAGTAGAGTTTCACTCCACGCAATACTGTTACATCAACCACTATGAGCTGCTTTAAGAAGGCGTTGGCAAACTGGGATACAAGCAACCAGTCACACTTTCAGGCCTCAGAAAGTTTGAATGATTGGAATAAACTGGTAAAGGAATGTGATTTTAAAAACATCATGGTGCCTGCACAGAGTGGCTTAGAAAAACAAACTCATACTGGAAGAATGTAATACAAAAGGAAATGACCAGATGTTGATCAAGGCTATAAGGTAAGATGGTGGTAGTGAAGCTGAGCGGAGACGTGATCATTCGGACCAGTCGTCGTCGTCAAACTCTGAGGAGTCGTCCTCGCTGTCGCTGCACTCCACGGCGATACGGCGCGACAAGATGGCGGCCACATCGTTGCCAAAGTGATCGCTCTTCTCCTGCTCCCGCTGAGCCTCCACCTTACGCAGGTTGAAACCTAGAGGAAGAAGTTAGTCGATGTTTAGTTTGTCTGCAAGGAGCCCTCACAGAACCAGGGAGATAAAACCAATTTGATCTGCTGAAAAACTGCATGTTCATCAGCAAATGTGAACATTTTGGCAGATTTGTGTTGCTATGCAATCCTAAAGAAAACAATTTTCCAGTGACTTCATCCTGGAGTCTGGCTGTTATCAGCGCAGAGAAGTTACAAAAAGCCCAGACATATATTGCCTAAGAAATCAAGCTTGCTTAGCTGCTTGCCTAAAATTGATTGTCTATAAAATGAATCTGACTTCAGGACTTTTCAACAAACTACAAGGTTTCAATTCTGAAGAAATGCAAAGAGCACATCGGAACAACAACTTTCAAATAAATTATCTCTGAAGCACGGTGGTGGAGGTTTAATGATTGGGGCTCATTTTCAGGCTGCAGAAAAAACTTTTCATTTCCACTTAAGTTTAACTTCTCACTAACGTAAGAAAACCTGATGTTTATGCATTTGTCTTATATCTAAGGTTCAGGACCTCAGTGAAATTGCCACCTCAACTACTTTAAGTTAAAAAACATTGGTGTCAAAGGTTTGTGCAATAAAAAAAATATTTTGTTTGTTCCGTTGTAATTTTAAAGATATAAATAAATGTTGCCAGACGTCATCAAAGGTCAACCAGCCATCGTGCATTAGCAAAACGAAATAAGGTGTCAATTTTAAAGATTAGATAAAAAGGGGCTCAGAGATCAACCTGTTCCCTCATTTAGATCAAACAAAACTGATATGAATTAATTTTGCTGTTGGTGCAGATAAAAAATTGGAGCACAGTTGACTGACCCAAATTTGTTTAACTTTGTAAATGTTTGGTTGACCTATGATGACCACTAGAAACATTTATTAATATCTTAAAATGACAGCAGCACTAACAAAAATTTTCCTGCATAAATTTTGACACCAACTTCATTTAATTAGAAGAAGCAACTTCACTCCCCGACCAACTGCTGGTTTTTAGAAACAAAGAGTTGGAGTTAAATGTCAGCCTTTTAGTTTTACATGATGTCACTTAACGCTGGTTATACCAAAACATTAAAATGACTAATTCAATAAAAATTACTGCTCAGTGCTCTCAGTGAGTCGGAACCTGTTGGGAGCAGACTCGTGTTTCCACTGACGTGTTTCTGCTACGTCTTACCTTGTCGGATGGCCTGCAGCAGGTCACTGCGACCATCGCTAACAGGAGCTGGCTGAGGTTTTGGAGCCGAGCTGGGGGCCGAACCATCGGCCGAGGGAGGTGGAGGAGGAGCACTGTAGGCAGAGGGTGGAGGAGGAGGCCCAGGGGGTGGAGGCGGCGGCGGCGGGGGTGGCGGTCCTCCACCTGTAGGGGGTGGCGGTGGGGGAGGAGCCATGGGCATATCGGGTGGTGGAGGCGGAGCGGGTGGAGATGGAAAGGAGGGTGGAGGTGGGGAGGGAATGCCATTGAAGGCAGTGGGAGGAGGAGGTGGATCAAAACCAGAGGGTGGGGGCGGTGGAGGAGGTGCGGGGGTGGGGAAAGGTTTGGGCGGGAGTTCGGTGGGGGAGACATAGAAGGAGGTGCCGGAGGAGGATGGGTTGGACTCAGCATGCTCATTCTCTGCTGAGCTGCTGTTCCATCATTAAACCTGCAGAGAAGAAGTCGCTATTAGACATTAACAGCCCTTAATGGAGACTTCACTTCCCTTCATTAACATTTTATATCTGTACTGAGGTTCACCGCGGCTGCTTCTGCTCAAGTTAACCAAAAGATGAGCGCAAGCCCGCAGCAGGCATGGCTTCGCTTTCACCACATGCTGCCAAAGGCGACCATGTGCTGACAACATGTGTGGGCAGAGTGCATGATGCTTCAAGTACGTACGCCATGTCTGGGGGTGGAGGAGGCAGGATGTCGTCAGGGCCAGGCGGAGGCAGAGGCGAGCCAGGCTCAAGGTGGTAAGAGTCTGTGCTTTGCTCAAGGACATCCGAGTTGAAGCCCTCTCCAGAATCGAAGCTGCCCTCCGGTCCGTTTCTGAACGCAAACAAAACAACGTTGCTATCAGCGTCAAATCAAGCACATCAGCTGCACCGACCGAGCGCAGAAAAAGATCAGAGACACAGAAGAAATGAGCAACTTCTGCTAATTAGAGGTGAACTTAAAGGAGCAGGTGAAAATAATCCCCTGAACATTTAAGGAATCTTTTTTTCTTAATTTAGGAAACTCTTCAATCAGATCTTGTTTCACATGGTATGAATAATGCTCACCATCGTCACAATTTCTCGAAAGAACAGGTGATAAGATGATTTTGGAGAAACACAAACAATAAACTGGGCAAAATACTAAGATATAATTTGCTTTTGAATGTCTGTTAACTACTAGAAAGTTAAATATCTGGTTGAAATTCTGAAAGACACCAATAACAACGAAATGTAATGTAATACAATTGCTATCAACATCAAATCAAGCAATGGAAAAAAACTGACACATATAGTAAGACTGCAGAAAACACAAAAAATAAAAAAATTTAATAAACGGACAAGAACCAGGAGGAAAACTGGTGAAGCAGAGTACTTAAAAATGAAAATATTTCATTGTTTAAAAAAGTGTCAACTAAAATGAAAACAAATAAAAGACCTGCAGTGTTTTACAGAAACCTGATAATAAAACACTGAAAACAGTCAGAGTATTGACTGTAGTATTGACTGGAGAGTATTGATGATTTCCTTCATTTCCTCCTGTAGTCTAAAACTACAGATTGATGCACGGAAATAAAAAGATTGTTCTTCAAAAGGTTTTTTATATCTGTTGTCGTTAGAACTGCATTCCCATTCTTACTTAGCGTCACATTTTATTTTACAGTCTAATATATTTTACATTAATACAATAATTTTTACATCCGACTGAAAACGCAAACAATCAAAAGTTAAAATAAAATTGTGGAGACACATTTTTGCTGTGTCTCCACAATTTTGTGACCATCAGCTCTACACCCTTCCTTCCTCCTGAGAACATTCCCAGACAGCACATACTGCCCCATCAGTGTGTACAGATCCGCTGATAAGCAGGGGGAGGGGAGAGGAATCACATGAGCGGCTAATGTGAATTTTTGCTTTGAAAGGCAAAAATCTGAGGCTATAGACTCAGAAAGTCAAGATTTTCACTCCTTAAATCTTTACCTTTCATAAGTGATCGATACATTGCTGTATTCCTGCCATGAGCATCTAAAAAAAAAAACTTAATGCAAAATCTGCATGGAAATAAACATTGCTAGTGGTTCATCACTGAAACTCACTTCTGCTGTATTGATCAAATGACATGTCTGGATCAATATGAATAATTTTGAATGCTGTTGAGGGAATTTCTTTGTACATGTGAGCAGTTCTTTTTATCTTGCCTCTGGTGTACCTCGGTCACAGCCTCGCCTCTTTTTCAGTCTGCAACAGTGTTTCTTCCAGGATTTCCCCTCTATTTAGCTCCATCTATCTTCCTGTCAAACCTGAGCAGCTTCCTTGTCCCAGCTGAGGCCTCCCCAGAGCATGACGCTGCTGTCAACATGTCACTGCCCGCATGATAGGAAGTAGGAGAACCTTTACAACATTCTTTAGTCCAAAACAAATTACCAAAACTACAACAGCTGTTGGTGAAGGAGAGAAATGACTAGTGTTCATTGCCATTTATTCTCTGTATGGTAATAAAGGCTTTAGTTGCTTTTCTGAATAGTAAAATGTGTTAGAGAAAATGTGATGCATTTATGCTCTTTAAATACATAACAGCCATTGAAAAAAAAAAACACATAGATGTCATCTTATAAAAATTGGTTTAACTTTTTTCTTCCTTGAAAAGATGACAAAAATCAATTGTATGCCAGCTGGAAACCATAGCAACCTAGCTTGTCCACTTCAGGAGACCACAAAAAATGTCAGCCAAAAGTACTGAATGCAGAAATTGTTTTTTTTTTTTTTAATCAGTCAAATCTATGGTCTACTATAAATACTACAGCTGCTGTAATCCAAACAATCAACAAAAATGTAGTAAATCGGGATTGAGAGGAAAGGTTTAAAGTTGTTATATATGCAATATCTGCTAGTTACAGTTTCTATTAAAAAAAATATAAAAAGCAAACAGAAACTTATATCATATGTTCCAGTTACTCCTCTTTCTATTTATAGTAAGTTAGTGTACACCGAGTTCTAAAAACAGCATCAAACTCCCTGAAAAAGGAAATGAAATTTGTAATCAGCTGAAAGTTCGTGACTGAAACATCCCATTGCACTTCAGCCTGCCGGGTTCATGAACACACAGTACCAACTTCAAATAGCTGCCCAACTGAGTCCTCCTTTCGGTTTACTCACTTGTCATTCTTTGGAACCACAAACTCCTGTCCCATCTTCAGCCGCTCCCACTCGTCCTTCCTGGTCTTGATCTTTCGAGGATGAAGCGTTCTCGGGTTCACGTTGTCTTTCTTCTCCCTCTGCTCAGAAAACACAGAGTTAAATAAAATGGTGGATGTCGAAATATGTTACTCCAGCTTTGGGATTCATGGCATGTCTCACTCTGTGCTTGCGCTTCTCCTTCATGATGTCCTTGGTGTCCTGCAACATCTTCTCCTTCCACAGGTCAAAGAAGTAGGACGGATCCGTGTAAAACTTCAGAGCCTCTTTACCATCCTCCCTGCAAACAATATTTATAGGCGTTATTAGCAGCAGTCTCACTTTGTTGTGAGCTGTGAGATTATAATTTTTTTTGAAGAGTAGAAGTATCTATAAGCCATTTAACTTTCATTATAAGGTTTCTTCACTTGTCTTTCTGCATGTTTAAACTAAACTAATGGTGTCTAATGTAAGTTGACACATTCCTTGCATTGCTGACTTCTTGTTATACAAGTTTTTTTTCATGCTTTGTGGGGTAGATTAACTTCATCAAATTAAACCATCAAAAATTACAGCTCTTCTCCTAGTGTAAGTTATGCCCTAGAAATATTGAAAACATAAGTTTTAGCTGCTAAAATACATCCATAATTTAAGTTTTGGTGAATGTTTGGGAGGCGTTCTTCACATCTGCATGTGCTGCTCCTGCCTATTCCATCCTACCTGTATTGGCTGAGCTGGTTGAGAGGTGGTGGAGGATTACAGGTGGTGTAAGTGTCCTGTACAGGGACAGGCAGAGACGGCCTGGTGAACAGCTGCTGATCCTGGGTCAGGCTGCTGCGGAAGGCTTTCCTGGTAGTGATGGCCTGCAGGGAGACTAGAAGAAACAAACAAGAAGTTGCATAAACTACTTAGATCACCTTGCTCGAGAAAGAGGGAGCTTGGAGGTAGTTGCTGGAGGAACTTCCATGAGGAAGAACTTACCCTCTTCTTCTTTGGGGTCCAGTTGGGTGACTTTAACCTGTAGGCGATCAACTCTTTCCCCCAGCGTGTTGACTCTGGTAGCAAAGGCTCCAGCCTGGATAAAAAGCTCCCCAAACACATCCTCTGCATATTTACCTAAATAACAACAACAACAAAAAAAAACACCACAACTTTTTTTAGCCTGTTAAATGTTATACAAGCTAAACGAGTTCAGTCAATTGACAGGTAGGACTGACAATAAACTAAATCTGGCTGGCACTCACTGAGGCTGCCGAGCTGCCGGATGATGTTGGCCAGGCTGATGTTAGTCACACATTCCAGTTCGCTGCGGATGTTTGAAGGAATGGTCTGACGGCTCACGTGCCGCGGCTCTATATTCCGCGTCACCAAAGGCATGATGGGAGGCGGCAGGCAGGGTGGCCCAACCCTGGCACAAAGAAAGAGAGAGGATCGATTACTGATCTTTGGCACATGGTAAGATGTTGTCCAATTAACCTCTTTATCGATATGTATAGCTGCTGATAATATGGTTCTAAAGGTATTCATATCTATCAAACTTTTTCACATTCGCTTTAAACCACAAATATATTTTAATGAGATTTTATGTTGTAGACATTAATTATGAAGTCATAATTTGTAGTATAACTTCATAATTAGTAAACTACACTATGACAAGTTTTCTTCAAAGACTTTTTTTTTCTTCCTAGCTTTCCTGTCCATGTTGAGGAAAAGCAACAACCCAGCATGACGGTGGCACCACCGTGTTCCACGGTGAGGTGAGTGTTTTTGTGACAAAGTGCACGACACGCAGCGTTTACGTGACAGCCGAGGTTTGCGCTTTCTGGGTTTGATGTGACAAAGTGTGACAAACTGCACAAAGGTTCAAAGGCTCCAAATATTTTCACAAGGAATTGTACATTTATATATTTGACACATTTATCTCAACTGTAATTTAACTGACATTCAGTGTATTTAAAATTTTTTCTAACTTTTAAATGAGGAACTGAAAAAGAAGAAGAAAGATGAGCAAAATGTAAGGATGTTTCTCTTTGGCACTGGGGCCTTAAAAGGGCATAGTACCTCCATTTTACATTGGCTGCTCTTTCACAAATGATCAAATAAAACACCAGTTTGCCAAAAGTCTTGCATATGACCATCAGTAAATGAATATTTCATGTTTGACCAAATGCTTAATGCTAAGCTATGAATAATTGAAGCGTTTAAAGAGGCATGTTAACTGTCAATTTTATAACAAGCAGTCTGTCTTTTTCTGTAGCTTACATTGAAAAATTGCCGCACTCAAGAATTTCCAGTCTATATTTTTGACTTTTTAATGATCCGAAGACTAAATACATTTCTTGCCAGCAACTAAAGCGTTTTTGCACGTCTAAATAAGCCAAGAGGCTCATGACTAAGCAAGCACTGCGCACACATATAAATAACAGAACCAGACAGAGCTAAAGCAGAAGCAAAACTGCTTCTCAGCTCAGATCAGCATCTACTATGCAGCAGCTGAGCGAACCAAACTGAAAGGTTAAAATAGAGAAGAGATTGCAGAGGTCAGCTACTTCCCTTCCATTATGTTTGCAGCTGTGTAAATATATTAAGCGGTATGGAGCTGACCACTAACATCAGCTGCGCACAGCAACAGAGGAGAATACGGTTGACAGCTCAGTGCCTCCTTGTTGGGCCCAGTTTGGCTGCCTAATTACAAGTTTGTCCAGTGAAATGATTCATAGCGTAAGCATCACAGAGATAGCTGTTTGTGTTTTTCCCTCCACTTGGTAAACCTGTTGCTATGCTCCAAAATCCCAAAATGAAACGCTGACACTGATGGAAAAACTTGAAAAACACGAAAAGCCCGGGCACTGCCCTGTGCTCGGCAATGACAGTGAGTGGATGTAAATTACTGAGCATTGCTTCATTGCTCAACTTCAGTACGGTCTAATACTACACTTTTATAGATCAAATCGGTAAAAAATAAAAAAAAAAAACAGCTAACGCTTTCACGCCCAAACATTAGCTAAAACAGCTGAAATGTACGTTGGGATCTCGGCCTTGTCGGAGCAGGAAGTAAACTTGTAGGCGCTTCTTATCTCGAAGAGACCCTCAAACAAGGGTGTTTTTGTCCCCGTCACCATATATAAACAACACCGAGTCAGTTTTACTCCCTTACCGTTAAAACGTGCGCCTGTAGGTCCACTCTATTTTATCAGTTGGTTGTTAGGTCGGAAGATTTTCTCAAAAAATGCTGAGAGATACAGCACCGCGAGACGAGCCTGAGCAGCTCGCCGAAGTCCCGGAATTGGTAACTTCTGATTGGTTGACGGACAGGAGTTCTCGAAGGCGATTGGCTGCGGGGGGTGTCATGCGCTGCGAGCCGAAGAACAGGATGTGGAAATTTCAACGCAAAGGGCGCAACTCCACCCGAGCTAGTGGCAAACATCTGTCCGTAATTTTCGCAAGGGAGGGCGGAGGCAAGGCCGCATTCCGGAGTGCGCTCCCAGCGAGCTGGAACGCGTCCGAGGAATGACTGGCACTGGAGCTTTCTGCAGAGGGAAACACTTAAAAGTTCATGGTGGTGAAGTGCATCCTTCCTCTCAGCGGCGGGAAGGGAAGGGCCTTTCACGGAAAGAACTTATCTCAAAATTAAATTAAGAATGAAACGTCTTAAAATCCGATACTGTGGTAGGGCGTACAGTTAGGATAGCTGTAGCCTTGTCTTGCTGGTAAAAACCCTTAATAGTGATGTTTTATTATCTCACTTTGCTCTGACAGCTCGAAGTAAAATGCAGAGAAAGCGAGTGCTGCCAGAAATCAGCTATTTAATAGTCTTTTTAGTCTCAATACAGCTTTCTTGTAAAGGCCTAAGGAACAACCCCTGAACTCACCATCACCACTGCGAAACATGGTGGTGGCAGTATTATGCTACACTGATGCTTTTCTTCAGCAGGGAAAGGGAACCTGAACAGTTCCTTTGAAAACAAATATGTCTCTTTATAGATTAGTATTTATTTAAAAAGATTCATTTCGCTAACGGATTTAGTCTTTTTCCTTGTGCTGGCTATCACATAAATTTCTGGTGAATTATATTGCGAGAGAGAGAAAAGGAAACATCACAAGAGCTCCTCAAGGCACTGTGTGGTGAAACCAATCAGAAGATATTGTAAATGTTCTCATTAAGATGATCTTTACTCAAGGAGAGAGCAATATTGTAATGTCTGCACGGAGATTTCCAACTCACTTTTAAATACAGAAGAAGAAAAAAAAGCTTTATTTTCTGGGATTTTGTTGGTTAAAACAATATTCCACAAGAGGTTGTGATTATTTGTTCAAACAAATTGGCTTTTTCCAGGTAATTATTAACTGTGCATTTAAATAGAGGACAGTCATTTCAGTTTATGTAAACGGCTCAAACTCAAAACAAAAGTAATCTCAGGATGCCAAGCAAAAAAGACATCTCTGTCCTGTATTTTATCACAAGCTTTGCAGAAAATATATTCTTTGAGTCACATTCTTTTGACCTGAACAAAGAGCATCTGTTCCTGTTCCCGCCATAAAGAGTCGTTTTTGTAAGCACTGCATATGAACAAGTCTCTTTCCCTCTCAAGTTGGAAAATGTAAGTCCATTAACTTCCACTAGAGGGCGGTGTTGGATGAAAAAAATTGTGGTAAAAGAAAGGCCCCCCCCCCACGAAACTGCATCATTTTCAGACAAAACATTCTCAGCCTTGTTCGTTTCCCTCCATAACAGCATTTTGTCGAGTGTCAGCGTCGTGTGTTGACCCAGCTGAGGGTGTAGGAGCTGTGAGCGCTCTCCACAGCGCGTTTCAGGACACCCTGATCCTCTCCTGAGGAGCTGTGAACCAGGTGGAGTCCAGCGGCCTCCAGGCCCCGCAGCACGCTGAACCAGTAGCGGAGCACCTCCTCGTCGCTGCCCCCCCACCTCAAAGCCCGCCCAGTGCAGGTGCACAGTGGCGACCAGATGATGAATGTTCTGCAGAGTACCCGCCTCGATCCAGTTCTGGAAAAGCCGCCACTCGGCGCTTAGCCGGTCAGCATACAAAAAAAAAATGAACCTGAAAGGGGAGGAAAATATCAGCATAAGATTTGTAATGCACACTACAATCATGAAAGACTTTTTAAGCATCGACTGAAATAAAGAAACCTGTCAACGTTCTAATTCGTTGAACACAACTGCATCGGAGATCACACAAAAGAAAACAAATGTCCTCATAGCTGAGTGTAAGATCACAAAGTTTAATGAAATACTCTTAAGATTAAAGACTGGTGTGATGTCACAGATTCTCCAGGGTTTGTGGTGTTGAACAAGAGCTCATGAATCTGGCAGCATGGCTACTTATTACAGATGAAGTGATTCCATTAGTGTCTGCAGGCCGTCGCCTTCGTTATGCACTGAAGTGGTTCACGACCGGGCGGCGAGCGCCTGGGATGAGAGTCAGCTCCTCCACACATTCAGCCTGTATTAGTATTTCACCAACATGGAAGTCCAGCTCAGACTGCAGGTGTGTAACTCCCTCTTGTGGCCCCCGGATGTAACTGGGGGCCCCCTGTGTGATTCACTCACTTAAACCGTTGCCATGGCAGTCAGAGATGGCGCAGAGCCCTGTTACCATGGCAACAGCCAAGTAAAAGTGCTTTCCGGGCACGCCGGGGTAAAAGAGACCCCGACGTGTGCTTGTTTGGCCAAAGTTTGGATTGTTTTGTGCTCGTGTCTGTTCACGGTGCGATGCCCCAGCGCCGCCATGACGCCGTGCGAGAAACCCCGCCCGGGCTGCCGGCTCGCCCCGTGCCCGCGCCTCTTCGCAGCTCGCCACTCCAGCCACAATCCGTGCTGGCTGACGACGCCCCTGTTGCCATGGTTACTGGCCAAACTGTTGCCAGGGTGACCAACAGATGCACTGGAGGTGCCGGGATCAAAACTGTGGGTTTCACATCCGAGTCTGGAGACGGCGCTCAGGAAGTCTGCGTCTCCTCCTTCCGCGCCGGCGAGACAAAAGGAAAAGCCAGACAATGAGGCAGAGGCTCGCAGAAGTGGTTTGAAAAAGGTTTCTGCATGCGGGATTAAATATGCACCGCATTGTTCAGTGCAGCCGCGGCAGTGTCACGAATGCCTGATTTCGGGGGACCAGACACCTGAAGGAGTAAGCGACGCAGAGTCTATCTGCAGCTGGAAGCAGCCAGTCCTCGGCACACAGCAGCCAGCGAGCTGAAGCCACTGGGGGCGCCACTGCCTGGGCCTTCCCCGGGGGTAAAACCCTGGAGCAGTTCAGCTGGGGACAGACGAGGAGGAGAAAAAGCACACGACACGAAGCTCTGAGAACCATCTGTCTTAAAGCCAGCATTAAAATTAGAGGAAGATAAAGAAAAGAAGTGGCTCAACGAGGAGCCTAGTGAAATTTGGCAGTTTTCTCCATTTTTAAAACTTCTCTTAAATTTAGACACTTTAAACTTGGGCTGGATAACTAAACAGCTTAAACAACGACACATGAGGTGTAGCAGTAGACGGGGGTGTGCTGTATGCAGAGGCTACAGTTTTCCACACAGCCGTCCTGGATTCGATGCTGCATACATTCCCCATTTTTCTTCCTTCCCCGTCTTGAAGCTGTCAATAAAAGTCACGGGTGCCAAAAAACAAACACACCAGCGCTGTATCCCGGTTTGAGTTTCTTAATAACTTTCCGTTCCCAGTTTTCCAGCACTTTGGTGTTGTGAAACTGAAATTCTTTTTGGGAATTTCCAGTCTGAAACATCTTTTCTGGCTCCAGAACAGGCAGAATTTTGCTGCCAGCATATTGACAGCACCTGACTGATCGTATTACTGCTGTGTCAACCCCCCACACATGTCTGCAGTCAGAGAAGTGCAATGTAGCTCATGAAAGCGGAGGGTTTTCTTCTTTCATTATTGATTAGTGTTCAATTTTGGCAAGATCTGTCTCCTCCATAAATTTGCAGCCTATTCTATGCTCAAATGTTGCTGGATACCTCCAAGAAATGATGCATATGTGAGTCTGACAGGTGGTTCAGGTGGACAAGTTGATTGCAAGGGGGTGGGGGTCTCCCTGAAGGGTTACAATGCTGAGCTGTCGAAGATGTGATTGAAAGCAGAATGTTTTTTTCTTAAAACACAGCTTTTTTTCCCCAACTTTGTTGAGTTTTTTTGCTAACACTAATGTGACTTTACGATTTACCTAAAAATGTCAGATGACAGTGCCTTTCGAAAGTATTCACACCCTTTTAGCTTTTCCACATTTTGTTGTGTTACAATTTTAATACGTTTTGAATGGATTTTACCGCACAAACTAACAAATAAGTGCAAATTTGTGAAACGAAAAATAGTTAACATGGTTTTTCGATTGTTTTTTGTTTCGTTTTTTTGCTTTCAACCTGTTTTAATATGACACCCTTAAATCTAATCCTTGAAAAGTCAAAATCCAGAACTAAATTTGCGACAGGACATTAAAACTGTTGTTCACAGACATGCTCCATATAATCTGACAAAGTTTGAGCTATTATAAAAAGAAGATTGAGCAAAACGTTCAGACTCCAGATTTGTAAAGCTTATGATGTGTGGTACATTCATAACTGCAGCAAAAGTATAGCTCTACAAAAAATTAAGTCAGTTTGACAACAATACAAATGCATGCCACACTTTTAAGCTGCACTCATATAACATTTGGAAAACAACTTACAGTTTTCTTTCGACTTCTGCTGTCCTTTTACATAAAATCTATTGAAATACCCTGAAGCTCAAGGTGTGATGTGACAAAATGTGAAACGCTAAAGGGGTATTAGCACTTTTTCAAAGCATTGCAAGTTAATGTGGGATTTTTCTTTTGCAGTTCTTTCTCATTAGTGCCTTGTTATGGCTGAAGAGTTTGTATAAAACTAAAGAAATGTCTGCAATACAGTTGTAAAATTTGCATTATTCAGCTCAATACATTAAAATTTAACTATAGTTTTGCACAAACATTAAATAATAAATTTAGGAATGCACTGGAAAATTTGACGAGATAACTTTTCGCAGGCCTAGGCAGCTCACTGTTGGTACGAAGTCTTATAAGGGCTGTATTTGTTGAGTTTCAGGTGTTTTCGTCAAGCCTACCTGTGGCCTTGTGATATACGTGATGATGCGACCGAGTTCTGCTGAGAAGGACGGCTTGTTCACTGCCCATGGCTGCATCTCCATCACTCTGGGTCCCACCTGAGAGCAAATGTAAAAAAAACAAAAAGTTATATGTCAATATACTGCGGTGAAGGAAATAATAGATGGTTCTTGGGAATTTGGAAGGCAGCTGAATAATGCACAGAGATGACAGTAAGAGAAGGTGCGGGAGCTGTGGAGGCAGGTCACAGGCGCTGACCCCAGGCCCGTTGGTAATTGCTTGAAGCTCCTCAACAGACAAACAGACATGCACACAAATACCCCTCTCTACTCCTAACGCCATGGCAACCTCTGCAGAGCAGGAGGGGTGCACCAGAATGAGTCAGAGAGTTTAGCCTTGGGCAGATAAAGAGAGGGAGAGTGAGAAAAAAGGAAAGCGGAGGGGAGCCGGAGAGGAGCGAGGAGAAGGAAGGGATGGGGTAAAGAAATAAGGGATGGATGTGTGCTCAGACACACAGACAGAGGCTGAGGATGGAGGCACAATCTGTCCATCCTCGGGGCACAGACAGAAAAGACAGACCGGCTGTCATCCGGCTCTGATCTGGGGTCAGGACAGGGCTTGCCCCTTGGCCCCCACCTGTTCTGACATGCAGGTAATAATCAACAGAGCTGCACACAAACTGACCTAACCCATGCCGGATGAGGACGCCTCATCAGCTGTGGTTTAGTTTGCATTCCGTGGCATAGACTGCACAGTTTAAATTACCTTCATCAACTTGGGGGATTGGATTAAGTACTGGTCTCCCACTCACTCTGTGACTGGTTTTTCTGAACATATGGCAAACTGAGAACTGGCAAGATGTTTTCTTTCAGGAGTAATCTGAATGTCTTTATGCTTATTTTGGCTCTCATAAGCTACTTGATCCCAATGTTGGATTACTTTATAACTCTGTCTGTCACTCGATTAATTTGCAATCTCTTTCTTGGCATGTTTTTTTTATTGTTTAGTGCAGTGGTCAGCAATATTTATGATCCATGACTTATTTCTGCCTCTGTTATTGCTAAATTAAATGTCTATACCCACTAAACCCTGCGGGGATCCTCAAAAAAAAAAGATGGCTTTTAAGGTTTTACAAGTACTTCTATAAATAAATGCTTTGTTTAAGGTTAAGGAGATATACATTTTTATATGTTTTTACTTTTCAAAATCAAGAAAACCAACAGACATTTGAAATTATTTCCCTTGACTGAATTGTAGAAATTGACTGTTTGTGGAAAATGAAGAAGAAATAAACAAAAACCACAGAAAATCAATGAACGCCTTAAATACTTAAATATTAACATGATTCTAATGCAGGAATTCTATCTATAAAATGTTACTTACTAAGATGTTGCAACATTATTATTATTGTTATTGGTTTCTTTCAAAAGTTTGTTTTGCCAAATGCCACCGAGCCACTGAAGGGGCGTCAGGGGCCCCAGAGCCACAAGTTGCACACCTAGACTTAATGCTTTAAACGCTGTTTAAATCTTTCTTCTCGTCTAATTGTGGCGCATCTTTTAATCATTTTCTCACCTGGAAAGCCAACTCCTTCTCTAGAAAAGGACTAAGTGTTCTTGAGGGTTTAAGCACTCCAATGTCCTCTGGGACAGATTTACTAGTTTTTAGTTTATGTGCTGCCCACCTGCTGTGCCGGGCTGAATTGTTCTCCTAAAACCACTCATTATTTAAAACACTTATACTGCAGCTTTTCACTAAATTAGACACTGAACTATTTTCACTCGCACAGAAATACAAGTTAAGCACATATGAGATTTTCTTTGTGATTTATGTATGTTGTTGCTGTTGTGTCACCTCTTTGTCTAGTTACATGTACCTGTAACATTTTCTGTCTCTGTTGTGTTGCTTTAAGGCCCCGGTTACCAATGAACAACAATAAATCCCGATTCTGGTTATGAAGACCCCAATAGCGTTCAGGCACTACCAAGTCAATTGGTTGCATTAACAACTTATTTATCGCTTTTTATTTATTTATGTGTACTTTTATTTGTATACGTGACAACATCTGCAGCAAAAAATACACTCATATTATTGCAGATTTTGTTTATTACTCTGGTTCCTGAAGTGAATGTCAGGATAGGACTCTTGCAGGTGGACATTAATTTGCCCACAATACAACAGGTTTATTAACGCAACAGATATTATATATATATATATATATATATATATATATATATATATATATATATATATATATATATATATATATATATATATATATATATATATATATATATATATATATATATATATATATATATATAATATATATATATATATATATATATATATATATATATATATATATATATATATATATATATATATATATATATATATATATATATATAGCCTATATTTTTTATGTTGTTCATGTCCGTTTTAGCTGTGGTGTAATTTAATTACGTGACATGATGTTAAACTGTCGCTGGAAAATAAACAAATTTATTACAATTTCATTGTTTTTTGTTTTGTTTTTTTAGTTAAAGTGTAGACTTATGAACTCCTCCTTTCTGTGAAATATATGAGTAATAAGCAGACGGTGAACTTAGCTTATAAACTTCACTACAACCTGTTTCTATACCAACCTGGCGCTCGTGCGTCTGGTTTTCCTCCTCATACGCTCGCGCCCCATCCTCCAGCCCCTCCTCCGCGCCCTCTCTCCCGGCGCTGGCTCCCCCAGCCCGGCCCGTCGACCTCCTCTCCGGCTCTATGCTGATAACGGTGAAGGCGACGGCCGCGTCCCTCTCCTCCGCCCGCAAACGCGCCGCGGCGAGGAGCTGCAGGGCGAGGACAACCAGCGGGACCAGCAGCAGCGGCGCGAGGCCCGCTCTCGACCGGGGCGAGGCGCCCATCACCCGCACGCCTCCTCGGTGGCCGTGGACGCTGAACATCTCCCAGTAACCCAAACTCCCGCCCTCCCGTTTTCCCCCCAGGGCGGATAAGAGAGGGAAGTTCCAGCCGGGTCCCTCCTTTGTCCCCTCCCTTCGTCCCCGGCCTTCTCCTTGTAACCCTCAGGGGGAAACATGGCGCACTCTGCAGTCTGCGGTGGTCCCCTTCAAAATGCTGTTTTATTTATCTAACAGCTGTAGAGTCAACAATTACCAAATGTAGGCAAAGAAAAATAGCTTTCCGAGAAAAAAGGGGGAAAAAAACATGCATACTTCCCCAGGATTTAAAAGATAAAGATCAATTTGTTGAAAAGCGTCAACTTGATCTCAGACAGAACTGCCGTACCATAGCTACAGTAAAGTCCACTGGCTGTAGTCACTTATATTATATTTTCTCAGTATTAATATTTGAATAACTCGATTTTCTTGCTGGATTTCTTCAGATCTTTTAAAGTTTCTCTTCTCTTTGCATTTTAGTTTTACAAGTAGCTTCACATTGGCCCATTTTTTCATTCAGCCATAAAAGCTCGGCCTAATTTTTATTTTGTATTTGCTGCTATAAATGCTTTGGTTCTGTCGTTTTCTTTCTTTTTATATTTTATGACCTATTCCATAAATATTTCAGTTTATGTTTATGTCTGAATGTCGATGCCTCTCAGTTACTGTTTCACATCTTCATTATATCATTAATAAATTCACTTAGAACTTCTTGATGATATAATAATGAAGAAAAATATCCATCTCACTCATTTTGTAAGCAAGAATTATTCTGAGCAAGAATAAAATGGGGCACATTTTACACATAGAACTGCCTTAATGGAAATGTCTAAATGGCTACGCCACCATTGAGTTTGCCAGTTTCTTTGTAATCTTCACAATGAACTTTGAGCAGTTTCAGCCAATGCTGCTTTGTGACTTTTCTTTGTGTTGAGAAAGGATGAGCTCTTAGAAAGAACAAAGAGCTCTGGTCAAGAAACTGGATCATCTCTTAGGTTTCATCAATCTAGGTGATTGGAGAAAAAGTATTTTTTTTAAATCAAGATATCTAATATTTACCACTCATTGTAACACTCAAGTTAGATATTTGTATCTCTTTTTTTAAACAAAAACACCAAATATTCATTCAACTGCTTCTTTTTCGCCCAGTCTCACCTGTTGAATTGTGTTTATTGTGGTTTTAATTTAAGCACTTAAAACAGTTTTTTCATTCTAGATAGACTGAAGGACGGCGGCACTTAGGAATACTGGCTTCTTGGCAGCTTTGAAAACCTTTTTTCTTTTCACCTTTCTCACAAACTTTTCTCATTCTGTTGCAAATGCTGCCGTTTGCAACGTTTACTGGTAGTGAAATTTGTCAAGAGCGATGCATTCGTTCATGTCAACATTTTTGCGCAGCATCAGTTCCTTTAAAATTGCTGCCATTAGCCCCTGTGTACTCTCTTTGTTTTGCTGTCTCATAAAAGGTACCCCTGGTTCAGTGCTTCCATATTTGGCAGCAGATGGTTGCTCCCACTAATGTTAGTTGTGCTGGAGGTTTCTTCCTGTTAAAAAGGGTTGTTTCATTTCCACTACGACCACTTGCTCGCTCAGGATTAAAGAACGCTGCAAAGTCAATGTCTCACATAGTTAGCAACTTTTTTTTCTTTTCTTTTTTTTACCAATGATCTTTAAATGATCATCTGAATGTGACTGCATACGACTGCTTGCATTCAGGTCTGCACTTACACCGAATTGATTCTTCATAGCCGGACGTGAATTAGATCTATTTGTGTTTTCCACTGCCTTCAGATAACGTTCACTGAAAATTGGCGTTGGAAAGTTTCAGAAAATTAGAATGTGCGTTCTGAAATAACAACCTTCAGTCAGGTATTAAACCTACTCACACACATTTCGGTGTAAGAATGCTTTTTGTCGGTCTGGTGAAATGTAATCTTAGTGTTGCGTTTTAATTAGCTGTTAGCAGAAAATCATAATTAACAGAAATAACGGCTTTAAAACGTCAATCAATGTGTGATTAATCTCCACGCTTAGTAAACTGAGTTACTGGACTAAACATCTCTAATTTGTGGAATACAACAGTATGTAAACCAACTGAACTACCGAATACCAATGGAGATTAAAGTAGAGAGAGTAAAGTGCCCTCAAATGTAAAAATGTTATATTGAAGCCAAATATTGTACAAAGAGCGCCATGTGGATTAGCTTCAGGGTACAGATGGATTAGTTCGTAGGGACTTTACCAGCTATTTAAATGCAGATAAAATGTCAATGTTTTATACAAACACAGTAGAACATAAAAGTGAGAAAGAAAGAGCAGACGCCCCTTCCTCCTCCTCCCCCAGCCGTTCTGTCTGTCCTGTCGTGCTGTTGACAGAACGTGTTCCCCCCTCTGCCATACAGTGGAATGTCACAGCAAACACGTTTCCTCCGGCCATGTCTGAGTCTATTTAATCAGCCTGTTGACAAACTGTACACAATCTGCGGCCCGTAAACTTCCCCCATCTGCTTTCGCTCTCCGTCACGCTGCACGTCCGTCTGGCACACGCGTACACACAAGCTGTGGATTTACAATATTTCTGTCCATCAGTGAGTTACCTTCTAAACATGCCCCCCCTGCCAATCCCCACCCCCCATTGTTGATTGACCATTTTTACAGTTTTTTGCTTTAACTCTTACAGCTGGGATTAGGATTAGGAGTGTTGAAGTAAAAGCTCTGTGGATTTTCTGCATTTTGTTTTTTTTTTTCCTCAGTCTGGTTTCTTTCCAGCTACCAGCACATCCCGCATTACTCTCCTCATCACTCATTCCTCGCCTCCCCTCTTTTTTTTTTTTTTACTCCCCGTCGAATCGTGTCCTTATTTGAACTCCTTCCCTCACAGTTGCAGGCAAAGCCTGGCGCTTACAAAGGCTCTCAAATCACACTCAAAACACCTCCTTTTATCTGCTGAAGGAACTGCACGAGACAGACAGGTTTACCAATGGCAAGAACGTAATGTGTATTTAAATATTTTGCACCTCAGATACATACATGATATGTAACAGACAGATATACATTTTTTTTTCTTTGCAGCACAAAAAACCACCAAACAACACAAGACCACGAAAAAAAGAAGGGAGAGAGTGAAAGAAAGAAAGAAATGAGGCCCCACCAAGATTTTGTCATCTCTGGAGCCTCAATCCTTTAGACCCCACACACACACACACACACACACACACACACACACACACACACACACACACACACACACACACACACACACACACACACACACACACACACAAGCATTCAGGAAAAAAAAGCAAACAAACTCACAAATACATGCATCACTGCAGTCACGCAAATCCATCCTCTGTCTGGAGTCCACACACACACACACACACACAAAAAAAAACAAGTCTCTTTGGGGCCATTGTGTAATTTCAGTGTCTCTTTCCCTTGTAGTTAAAACAGCAAAACACAGGATGTTGAGTCTCCAAGCTGCAGTCCTCCTCCTATTCCTCTTCCTCCTCTTCTCCCCTCCCTATCAGAGCAGAGAAATCACGGTAAGATGCAGAAGAGAGGAAAGTTGATAATGGCTCCCCCACCCCCACTCTGCCACCATCCTCCCCGCGGTCTTGGAGCTGAAGTCGTATGTACAGATGCTGGTATTTGAAGAGCAGAAACTGATTTAGTCCGCTTTTTCTCTTATGGGACACAAACATCAAGAAGAAGTGCACAGAGCGGGACGTTTGGCTAGGCTCACGGTATTTAAAGAAAAAAAAAAAAAAGAAAAAGTCGATTTTTGGGCTCAGATGCGGCTCAGGTTGCGGCACAAGACAGTTGAGTGGTTTGAGTGCAGAACATTGCAGCTGGCTTTAGCATGGTAAATGGAGAAGTTTTGGAGAACAGAAAGAGCGAAACAAAGAGAGAGAAAAAGAGAGAGAGAGAGAGAAAGCAGAGTAATCCTAATTTGTCCATACTGCAGAACAGAAATGGAAAAGGACTCGGCGAGATACTGCATGTGTCACAGAATGACCCAAAGGGATGGGGATATAGTTTCATCTCTGTCCACCGCTGTCTGGACTTTGTCTGTCAGATTCCTCTTGGCCGTTCCCTCTCGGTGCAGGACAGAGTGCTCACGTATGATCATGGTTAGGTAGTGATCTAATCTGCACATGCGTTTCTGTGTGTGCGCGCGTGTGTGTGTGTTTTTCTTTATCCTTGTTTGCCTGTGTGCGTGTCTATCTGAGAGAGTGCCGCAAATGTTTTCGTATACGTGCATGCTTGAGTTTCATGGGTTGATCTTGATTGTCAGTGCTGGAGAATTAAAGCTTTACTGTCCAAGGCTGGCAGCTAAATTCTCACCCTTCAGTTCAGTCTCTCACAAAGAAGTTCCCTTTAAAAAATATGTTTGCAAATCTGTAAAAGCTTGACTCGAACCTAAGAAGAAACACAGAAAGAGGGAGAGAAAAAAATTAAAGATGTAAACATTTGGAAATTGGAATTGCACCTCAGTTCACATTGTAGAACTTTTATAAAATCATTTTGAAAAAGATATTCATAGACTTGCCGTATATTTAGCAAATTTGAAATATATTTAGGATTATGATTAGCACAAAGTACCTTTGTGCTAAAAGTATTGAACATCTTCCTATTTTGACACTTTACAACCACAAGCTATATTTCACTAACACTATCTAATAGATAAATATAGCTGAAAGAAAATGAATTGCTTTCACATAAAAATGTTGGAATAACGCTGCAGACATTTACATGCAGATTTGAATAACATAAAATAAAAGTGCATTGGTAAATAGAGTCGAACTGCATTTAATTTAATTTAGTTATAAATGCAGGAGAAGAGAACAGTGGAGAATAAACAGCATCATGAAAACCTGACAGCTCAGGGAGAAAGTTGTGAAGAAGGAGAAGGTGAGACGGACTTTAAACAGAGAAGCAGTCAAGAGGCCTGTGGTAATTCTGGA